GCATCGACGTGAAACAGCGTGGGCCGCACAAGTGCTACGTCGGCAGGGAGCGCTGGAGTCTGCCGGCCGGGGCGCTGGACGAGGCGGTGTTGGCGGCTCTCGATCGGTGTATGGTAGTGGCATTTCAGATGAAGCCCGCCGATCGAGATGACGAAGATCATCGAGATAGTTCGTTGGATGGCGCATTGGATTTATTTGCGGGCGCCGGCATCGAGGACAATGTCGCCGCCGTCTGCCGCGCGCGCAGACGCCGCTCGCTCGCGGCGCGCGTCGCCGCAGGTAGCCCGAGCTCAGACCGCTCTCTGTCGCCGCCCTCGCCGGCCAGCCCAGCTGCGCAGCGGGGGGCGGCAGCTCTTCGCGAGCTCGGTTGTTCAATTCGCGGCATCGTGCCTTTTGACCGGCGACGTCTGACGTGGCACGGCAACTGCATCCCGTTCGGCATTGCGGCGCTCACTGGCGATTGGGATGGCGTCATCGCAGCTGCGACTGTGGATTCGGACGAGAACGCAGCAGCTATGGCGAGCGGCCTTCGTCGATATAGTGACTGCGCCAATCTCTTTGGCGTTTCATTGCGGCCAGTGCCGACGACGGCGGTGGAGACACTTGGCCGATTTCTTGTTCACGGAAAAGTTGCAGGCAGAGAACATTGCGCAGCTGTCGAAGTATTCGAGCACGGCGGCAGCATCTTACACTCAGAAGGGTTATCTTGGGACGTACCTCGAGGTTGTCTCGACGCTTGCTTGCGGATTATCCTCGACTTCGGCGTCGAGGCGGCGTTCGCTCTCGGCGGCGGGCATTCGTCGACCCTTGGCGATGACGTCGCTGCACGCGACGCCATGGACATGGTGGCCGGAGCCGGCGTCGAGGAGGAGGGGGCCGTTGACGTCGCGAACGCCGACGACGAGCACGCCGAGGAATTGGATGACGATTCATGCGTGCGCGTGCATGCGAATCTCTTGCAGCTTCTACGCGACGAGGTTACTGACTTCGAGATGATCGTGAAGTCGCTCTCTCGCACAGGCGCCACGAAGGACGGGAATGGGAGCGTTGCAAGGTGCTTGCTTTGCCCATTCAAAGAGTATTCTACTTCGTCTGTAAACGTTAAGAGGGATCTCCTTGCGCATATCGCGAATCACCACGGCTTGCACAGAAAATGCGAGAATGGTAGAGATCGTAAGATGGGATCAGGTCGGTACGTTGCTTCAGACACTAAGCAGTGGAAAGTCATCCAGGCGTTGTTTGACGACAACATGTTATCAAAGCATCAACCGAAGAACTTGCTGCAGCGCAGTGCCGATCTCATGCGGCGGTCGGTGAGCCCGCCGTTGCGGTGTCTTGGTGTTGACAAGCAGATTCGGCTGCTCCTTGACCACGACGGGCCCCGGTTTGTCAACTTCGAGGTTCTCGCGAGAGATGGCGCGCTCCAAGCCAGGCTCGGGCTGGAAGAAAGAGCAGGATGCGGAAAGGGGGGGGGGGGTGCGACATCTGTTTCGCGCAGCTGGTTTCGGCTCCGCCCGTTGAGCCCGTTCTTCGACGCGCGGGCGCCTCCCGGCGTTGCGGGGCGCCGGGGACAGTAGCTGCGTGAGCTGATTGCGCGCCCTGCCCTTTGCCATCCTACTCTTTCGTCGGCTTCGACAGGCGCGCGGGAAACACGTACTACACGAAGGAGTTCGCCGAGCTCGTCTTCCGCGAATCCATCTTGCACGAAGGTCGAGTGCGCCCGATGAGGGCGAGGATTGTGACGCGCTTTAAGGAAGCCGGCAGTTGCGTCACGCACCTTCTACCAGGAAAGGTCGTTCAGTGGTTGTCGTTGATGGAGGACGTATTCTCGTCTCCGTTCGTAGAGGAATTGCGAACCAATCTCATGGGCGAGTTGGTTGATAATACAGAGTTTGAGCACGTTTCGTTGGATGCAACTCTGCGCACTGCCATGCGCGTGAAAGGCCAGGCGAACTACAGGGAACCGGCAGAGATTCGAGCGGCGGCGCCGTTTCCAGACGGCGTTGCCAAGAGGCGCATTTTGACTGCCAAAGGTCGCACGTCAGCCGCCATTGGCATGTGGCCCGTGGCCAGCGAAGCGGCATCCGTCGTGAAGGCGGCTCTTCGAAATCGCTTGCCCGAGCGAGCTCTCCAGCAGTGCGTCTCAGTGGCATCAGATGATCCGTCGGCGACATTGTTTGCAGAGCTCAAGCAAATCATGCCTCAGCTCAAGTTTTTGTGCCTAGATCCTGTTCATCTCGCAATTGTGTATAATCAGGCGCACTGGCGGAAACATTCTCCGGGCCAGGCAATTTTGCGAATCATTTTGAATAAATTCAATAAAGTGAGCTCAGATTTAAATGGCGCCGCGTGGGGCGCCCCTTACACGGGCCACCAGGCTAGCTCGCTGTCTGCCGCCGAGGGCCGCGCGCAGTCGTTGATAGCCGGCGGCGGCATGCAGAAGCGCCGAGCGCACAAGATCATTGCAGATCTCGACGCCAATGAGCCATTCGTGAGAAAACTTGAGTTCATCGAGGCATTGGCGGCATTGACGTCCGTCTACTGGGAAGAAGTGGACAGGCGCACCCCCGCCGCGCCAAGCAAGAAGCTGGCTGATGTAATAGCGAATGCCGCGCAGCACAGTCGATGCGAGTATCTTTTTAATAATTTGCGCATGCGGCACTCGCTGCCGGCTCGCGCGCTGCCATTGCTCGGTTCGGGCACGAGCCCAAACGAAGCGCTGCGTAGCGAGATCAACAGGTGGTTTAAGAACCAGCCGGAGTTGTACGCGCAGACTTTAGAGCTCCAGCTCGGCGTCAACGTAATCGGCAAGCAAATGATGCATAATTCAGCTATGTACGCCCCCACTCTGCGCCAGCTGTCTTCGCAAACTGTCGCAGCTAGCGTGGTCTGCTCGTTTGCGATGTCCGCCGCCGAGTGGGCAAATCATTGCGCTTCTCAGGCGCAGGAGCAGAGGGCGCCGCGGAAAGCGCAGCTTCCGCTGGCGCTGCAGCGCAAAGCCGCTGAGCCCCTGGCGAACAAGTGGAAGGTGGATCACAAGCGCATGGTTGTTGCGCGCAAGCCAGCAGGGCAACGACAATTCATTCGCACCCTGAAGCGGCCGGGCGCAGCCAAGCAGCGCAAGCGCACGCCCTTCTCTCTTGTTCGGAAGCGCAGCTAAGGCGGACGGCTTTTCCCTTGATGAATGCTAGTGGTTGCGTTTATGTTTGAAGCTCAACTACGTGCTGCCTTGTCACTGCCTCGACGCGCGGCATTTGCGCTGCCATGCGAAAAAGAGTACTCAACATCGGGAGTTGCGAAGGCTTCGCCTCTATTACCGGAGCCCCAAATAATTTGAACTATTTAATTTCCCAGAACAGAGTTTTTAATCATTTAAATCAGTGCCGTTTCGACGAGAGACGAACCTCAGTTATTTTATTAATCATTTTTTTTTTTTTTTTTTTTTTTTTTTTTTTTTTTTTTTTTTTTTTTTTTTTTTTTTTTAAAAAAAAAAAAAAAATATGGAATAATTAAAACGTTTAATAAGTTAATCAATTTAATTAATAAAATCGTAACGTTTCGCTTCTATTACAGGAGCCCCGATTTTAATAATTTAAATAATTTAAACCACCCGGGTAATAAATTATTTAATTTTCTTGAAATCAGCGTCCTTTCGTCGAGAGACGAACTTCAGTTATTTTATTAATTAAAGTTTTTTTTTTCTTTAATATATATATATATATTATTAAAAAACAACAAAAATTATTCAAATATTTCATAATTTAAATAGTTTAAAACATTTAAGTAATTTAATTCATAAAATCGTAACGTTTCGCTTGTATTACAAGAGCCCCGATTTAAATAATTTGAATATTTCAAACCACCCGGGCAATAAATTATTTAATATATTGAAACCAGCGTCCTTTCGAAGAAAGACGAGTTTCAGTTATTTTATTAATTAAATTATTTAAATTATTTAAAGTATTTAAATTATTTAAATATTTAATAATTTAAAAAGTTTCAATAATTTAAATAATTTAATTAATAAAATCGTAACGTTTCGCTTCGATTACAGGAGCGCCGATTTAAATAATTTAAATATTTTAAGCCACCCGGGCAATACAATATTTAATTTATTGAAATCAGCGTCCTTTCGAAGAAAGACGAGTTTTCAGCTAATTTATTAATTAAATTATTTAAATTATTTAAATTATTCAAATTATTAAATATTTAAATAATTTAAATAATTTAAATAATTTAATTAATAAAATCGTAACGTTTCGCTTCGATTATAGGAGCCCCGATTTAGATAATTTAAATAATTTAAACCACCCGGGCAATAAATTATTTAATTTATTGAAATCAGCGTCCTTTCGAAAAAAAGACGGCTTTCAGCTAATTTATTAATTAAATTATTTAAATTATTTAAATTATCTAAATTATCTAATTATTTAATAATTTAAAAAGTTTAAATAGTTTAAATAGGTTAATTAATAAAATCGTAACTTTTCGTTTCGATTACAGGAGCCCCGATTTAAATAATTTAAATGATTTAAACCACCCGGGCAATAAAATATTTAATTTATTGAAATCAGCGTCCTTTCGAAGAAAGACGAGTTTCAGCTAATTTTTTTTTTTTTTTTTTTTTTTTTTTTTTTTTTTTTTTTTTTTTTTTTTTTTTTTTTTTTAAAAAAAAAAAAAAACATATTTAAATATTTAATAGTTTAGTTTAAATAATTTAATCAATAAAAAAATATGGAATCGCTTTTATTTACAAAGACCAGCCTTTATATATATATATATATATTATATATATATATAAAATTCTGTAAGCAATACATTATTTCTCTTTTCAATATGACGATCATATGTGACTAGTTTGTCCCTCAATCATATATATATATATATATATATATATATACACACATTTTTTCAATGTATAATTTTTTCCTTCCAAAATCCGCCTGTAGGAGGACACGCCCGACCTAATGCTAGCCCTGGGCACCTCGGCCAGACGGCAGGCGCGTCGGTGGTGCTGGTCGGGCTGCAGGGGGCGGCGGAGCTCAACGGGCGCCTGGCGACGTGCGCGCGCTGGGACGACGGCAGGGCCAGGTGGCTGGTGCGGCTGGAGGGGGGCACGGAGAAGCTCTTGAGGCCCGAGAACGTGGAGCTCAACACCGGCACTGCGCCCGTGCTGTGGGCGGGGGCGCAGGTCGGCCGCGGTGAAGAGGGGGGGCGTGCCGAGGGACGGTCCAGCCGCTGAAGTGAGGAGCAGGTCTGGCTCGGAAGGGGCCCGCGGGCTCGCGCGGGTCCCTCATTTGGTCCCTCCGTGGTTCTTCTTCTCTGACGCTCCCATTGCACTCGTGCGCTTTTTGGGCCCAGAGCGGCTTCGTTTCGTACTTGGCGTTCCTCCTGGCAGTAGCTTGATGGTAGGGGTCCTCATGGGGTCCTCCCCGGGCTCCGGGACCATCAGACTCAGGATGACAAGTTGGTCTTTGGGGACGACCCGGTGTCCAGAACCCTTTTCCCCCCATGCCAATTTGGTTGGCCCAGCGTCCAAGTGCAGCCTCAGGCGGGGGCTACTGCCTGGCGGGGCGAAGGGGCACTCAGCTTGCACATCTCCTGTGAGACTCCCCTGGCTTGGGAACCCTTTCTGGGCCACCCCTTTTGGTTGGGCGTTCGATCATGAGAACTTTGTTGGCCGCAGCTGCCCAGCTTTCGCGCAGAGAGCCGACGGAGACCGCAGACGACCGCCGAAGACCACCGACGTTCGATCGAGAACACGTGGTCCGTGTTCGTGCACACAATTGCAGACCCCTGACGTCATTCTATGCCTCCCAGATGGGGTCGGAGTAGATGGGGTCGGACGATCGCGCCGCATCGCAGATGCATCGGCGATGGGGCTTAATGGGGAGCTCTATTTTCTCAAACCATCCTGTGGTGTTGGGTCTTCGTTTTGAAGAGACAGTGACCCGCGTCCTTCCTCCGCCTCCCCCTTGCCCCCCCCCTTGAAGAGTCGGTACAGTGAGGTCTTTTTGCGACCCCAGTTTTGTGAGTGTGGGCCCTCCTGAGGCCCGCGCCATGGGCCCTTAATCGGCAAATTTTGGCTGATGCTTCCATTGGAGGCGGCACCCGCCCGGAAGGTTGTGAGCTTGCCTCACGCCCTCGAGGACGACCGAACCGAACTGAACCTCCCTTCTCCCATCTCTGCCTCTGCCCTCGTGTCCATTTCGGCACGCCCCCCAGAGGCTTCGTAGCCCCATAGGAGCCAGTTTTGTATTCCGGGGCGGTGACGGCCGTCTCTGGGGGGTGGGTTGGTGGGGGAGGGGGCCGGTGACGTCACGTTTCGCGACGGCGGCGTCTGGGAATGCTTAGGAATGACCGAGGACGGGTAGGAACAGCATGTAGGTGGCGATCTGTACCACAGCGCCTGTATGAACCACAGTCCTTGCGTGCACCGCAGCGCTTGTGTACACTACATCGCCTTTCTACACTGCAGCAGCCGCGTGCAACACGGCGCCAGTGTGCACCACAGTGCCTGCGTGTACCACAGCGCTTGTGTACACCCCAGCGCCTGCGTACACCACAGCCTGCGTACACCATTGTTGCATATATAATTTTAGAAGAAATCCTGATGACAAAATGGAACGCTTATGTATTCCACAGAGAAGGAGGAGGAGGAGGAGGAGGAGGAGGAGGAGGAGGAGGAGGAGGAGGAGGAGGAGGAGGAGGAGGCGGAGGAGGCGGATGCGGAGGCGGAGGCGGA